CCCGCCCGCCAATTAAGTTTCTGATCCGTATGGAAGAACTGACTGACTTGACGTTTGTATTGAAAATCCGAATTTGTTGTTGATACTGGCTGAGTAACAAAGATTTCCAGATTAGTTTCAGGTTGATGAATGCGTTTCTCGCCCACCACCCGATTCTCGCTCGATTTGACATCCTCGTCCGTTCCGACTGGCTGTAGTTGAGACAATACTCCCTCCCTAGATAAGTGAATATAGTGACCTCTTTCAAATCCCTCCCGTTGATGGGGATTGGCGTTGGATGTTGTTGCTACTGCTGTTGTTGTTGGTTGGTTGGTTATTTTCTTAACCTTCGTCTTGTCTATGTTCATCCGGAGTCCTGTCTTCGCCGGCTGCTTCTTCGACCAGTTTGTCGGTTTTCGTCTGTAAGTCTTCGATTTTGTGACAGTGACATCAAACATAAATCATGCACGCGCGAAATCCAGGTCTTCTAGGTTCTTCATGTCGGTCCAGGATATTCCTATCTTCTCGTTTCCCACTGTCTGACGCATAATTCAGTTCACCACAATTAGGAATACCATTGGTGACAATAGGCAGGCAGCCGTGTCTGACTCCTGTGTTTACTCCAAACGCCTCGCTGAGTTTTCCGTTTTGGATCAGTTGACATGTTCCGTTGTCGTACAGCTGCTGAATAAGTTTGATGAATATTTGGGGTACGCATATACTACATATATTAGATACTAACAACAATCTTTTGTCCTACGTCACGTGATATGCCTTTTCCTTTAGGTTCAGTGACTACCATAGTGAACGCTATGAAATCCACTGGGATAATATCCACAGCACATTGTCCAAGTGTGACATAACTTGTAAAAACACCAACTTCACTTTGCCCAAACATGTCTTCAGGACTCAGAATTAGTTACAGTGTGACGGCACCGGATGTAAGCAGTTCTTTAGAGAAGGTGCTAGTCGAACATGCAAAGTCACTGCGTATCCTCTGTTCGGTGAAATCAAGTTTCACATGCGCGGGGCGTATCCAAACACTGTAAACCCGACTAACTCTGTGACGACACCGAAGATGGTTAAGTTGGTGTAAGCTGTATTAACTGTCACTATATGTTTGAACGTTTCATCCGTCTCACTTTTGCCGCAGTCATACAACCACCGCCATATGTGAACTTCTCGACTACTTTTAACTATTCACCTGTGAGAATGATTAGAGATTATAGGTCCTTCTGAACCTTGCAACTTCTCTGCATTTGGACAATGCACAACTCATTCCATACTCTTGTAGGAATTGGATTTTATCCCCATTCTGTCTGTCTGTCCGTTTTCGACATAGAACTTTGCACAAATGTGCGGAAGTTCAAGTCGCCACATTCCGTGTAGCACGCGAAGCAAGAGAAGAAAGTACAAGAAAAGCATAATAGAAACAGTGAGAAGCAAAGGAGTAATAAAGAAATACAAAACAGTTTCATTGAAGATCATAAGTCACAGGGAGTGGATGCATCTGCGCCACTGAGAACGGTTTTGAGCCATGTCACCAATTGTTTCCAACCATAGATTTTTACCGTCCCGAGGACCCCAGCCTGGAAGTCTACACCTTTCTACGTGGCTTAGACCAACTGTTGTGGATTTCATTGACTGATGCCAAGTTTTTGTTTGACCGCCGCTAGCTTTTTTCCAGCCTGACCCTATATCCGCTAACATAGCTCGTCGAGGGAGGCGATGGCTTGGCATACGTAACACATGTCCTAACCATCTCAGTCTTTGTAGCTTCACGACTTCGTCGATTGATTTCCCCTGTTTACCTAGAACTCTACGCCTAACCTCCATGTTGCTCACCTTATTATGCCACTTTACACGGGAAATAGAACGCAGGCACCTATGATCAAAGACAGCTAGTCTTTTCATGTCTTCCACTCTCAGTGGCCAGGTCTCACAACCATAAAGGAGGACGGAGCGGACTGATGAGCAGTACACCCGCCCTTTGGTCGATAGTCGAACATCTCGTCTACGCCAGAGTCGGCGTAAACTAACAAATGCGAAACGAGCCCCTTGTATTCGTGCTGAGATTTCGTCAGAGATCAGCCCGTTGGGGCTGATGGTACTTCCCAAATAAGTGAAGCGGTCAACGTGCTCTACCACTTCACTTCCTATTTTTAAACTAGGCGTCGATGTAGTCCAGTCCTGTAACATCATCTTGCATTTGGCGGGAGCGAATCGCATGCCAAACATTCGTAGATTGCGGCTCAAGGTGTTTAGAAGACTCTGCATTTCGTCAGCGTCTTCGCCTAGAAGGACTATATCGTCTGCATATTCCAAGTCAACGAGATTATTCCCCGGTAGCAAGTCAATCCCTGAGTCGCTGAAGTCACCTAGGGTTAAGTCCATTAACACATCTATGATGAAGTTGAATAGAAAAGGAGATAATGGGCATCCTTGACGGACACCACTGGTCGTCATCAGTTCAGATGACAGCTCGCCGTAAGCCCTCACCTGGCTGTATGAGTACGAATAGAGTGCCTTAATCAGTGCAATATATTTTCTTGGAATTCCCTTTACAGCCAAGCATCTCCAGAGAACTTCCCGATCGACAGAGTCGAATGCTGCCTTTAGGTCAAGAAATATAATGACTGTTGGACGCCGGTAGGAATGCCTATGTTCTAGAATCTGTCGGAGGGTGAAGATATGATCAATACACCCTCTTCCTGGTCTAAAGCCTGCCTGGCTCTCTCGTGTTTGTGCTTCCCGAGCACCACTCAGTCTACGCATGATTATTGAGCCTAAGACTTTAGATACTATATTAGTCAAGCTAATCCCTCTGTGATTATCACAGGAAGACTTGTCTCCCTTCTTGTATATGGGGATAATCAGTGACTTACACCAACCCGATGGGACTTCTTCTGATTCCCAGACGCTGCCTAGTACCTCAGTTAATCCGGACAGTAAGCTGTCTCCACCGTACTTAAATACCTCTGGCGTCATTCCATCAGGTCCCGCTGCTTTGCCTAGTTTCAGATTGGTGACAGCTTTAGTAACCTCAGTTAGTGACGGAGGACCTGTGTTTATATCCCATTCAGGGAGGTGTTGGATGCTCGGAAGGTTGAGCGTGGCTGTGGGCAAATTAAACTGCTCCTCATAATGCTCTTTCCAACGATCCAGTCGTCTATCCTGTGAGCTAATTATAGTGCCATTTTTTTCCGAGATTGTCTCACTGATGATTTGTCTTCTCCCACCCGTTTCCCTGATGAGTCCAAAGAGTTGCCTGGTGTTGCCTATCCTCGAAGCTTTCTCCATCTCTTTGGCTTTTGTCGCCCACCACTGTTCACGGTCCTTGCGGAGACTTTTCGTAAGTTTCCTCTTGTGCAGCTTTCGCTCCTCATTGAATTCGGAGCTCGCCGGAATAAGTCTTCTAGCATCTATCAGTTCGGATGAGGCGGTGGAGATCCAGTGGTTTTTACTCACCTTTGGGTTTACCTTATTCACAGCTTTTATCCCCATTCGGCAAAACACTGTTCAAGTAGGGGATCGTAATGAACTTTACAAAAGTAATCTTTTCGCTAATCAACTAGAAAAAGTAGAAATATGTATGTGTGATGACGCATCCTCCAATTGTCAAATACTAGTTGATTATTCACGTCGAAAGTGATACATGTCCTGGCGTTATTGTCTTCCTCATAATTTTGAACCCTGAAGTAAAGCTTTCCAGGTTATCTCCAGAACTCAAAATGAAGAAATCACTATGCGCTTTTTGTCTTGAATTTTCATCTGATACTTACTTATTTATGAATATCAGTTAGCTTAGATTAAGTGTTTACAGTATAACGTATTATCCATAAACGTCAACGGAATAACGAACACATATTGTCCATTTTTGCGGTAGACATTGTTGAACTATCTGCTCAAATTACTTATATATGTGGTTATTACGAAAGCATTCAGGAGGGGCTGAATGAATCTGTTTCCAGCTCGCCGGATGGAGAAATCTAGACATTATCAGAAGACAAAAATCAAAGGGGTTTCTTCGTGTCATGCCATGGATATCGAGGATAGGAATGGAAAAGCAAAACGATCCTTCATTAATCTGAGATCAGTGTTAAAGTCTATTGCACACTCACCATACGAAACAAGATTGTGATTTTCAACACTAACATCAACTGAGTGCTTCTACTTGGTTCGGAGACATGGCGCGCGCATCAACAAGAGGATTTTCAACGGGTTGCAGCCTAAAGATCAGAAGGTCAGTAAGGATTTAGCAATAAACAAACCAAAAGCCTATTACCCAACAGATATGCAGAAAAAAATGGGGATGGATTGGACACACGTTGAGTGACTCGTCGCTCCATGAAAACCCTTGGATGGAACTAGAATGAAAAAGGATGAGTTAGGTATGGGTGTAAGGTTGACATAAAGAATATCGTGTGATGTTGAAATCGAAGCCTATGAGACATAACACAGCCTGCTAAAAAGGACTTCAGATAATAGATTGAAATGGCTATGTGCTACAGAAGTCCTGTTTTATTCGAAACCCAAGGAAATAATATACATGTATATTCATGCCCATCTTATCATGAGTTGAATCACTAATACTGATATCTGTGGATTTCATTCCCTTTGTATTCCTGTAAGCATCGCATCAATTGTCTTAGATGCTGCAGCACAGCACTTATTGTCATTTTCTCCTACTTAATTTCTACATATAACGGATTAATCAATTGCTTTTATTTATTACTTTAAACGTAGGTATCAGTCTATCACCCACATGTTACTTAAAACTAAAAAATTTTCACCAGGGTAACCTGCTATACGTCTTTTGATAATTATAATTACATCAAAGTGTACAGTTCTTTGTGCATGCTGAAACATGTATGCAACTGCCTCGTTGTGATTTTACATCGATTATGTCAAGATCATTATCACAGTTGATTTTTGCATATGTGATTTTAAGAAAGGCAAAATGATTTATGAAGTGTTCTTTCGATTTTAACATATTCTGTACCGTTGTTTTCACTTCACAGTCAACCACTATCGGGGTAACGATCCTATGGAAGTTGATCGAGTACACGTTACCGAAGTAAACAATACGTCACCCTTACTCGCCAGACAAATCCCACCTGAGCGGATTACCGTCCTTAAGGGTCATCAGTCAGAAGTTTTTATCTGTGCATGGAATCCCCGAAATGATATGTTGGCATCTGGGTAAGTTTGATGTTCAAATTTTAAATATAGTCTTAAGTTTTTTGTTTATGATGCACCAGATAAGTCATGCATCACTGGTTTCAGTATTTTATTGATAATAAAAATTGATATGATTATGAACAATAAATTGTGTTCGAAACATCATCCAGTATACAATACTGTTTCACTGTGTGATACATTTAATAAACAAACTAATATGGAATTCAGTATTTTACTTTGAAGATTAACACTTAATGATTTGCGCATAGTCCTATAGACTTATCTCTACTCACTTTTGGGGGATGAGTTATAATGAGACTAGGAAACTGCAGTCATATTTGGTGTTTTTGTAAGTCGCATACATCAATTTATTGCTTAACTGTTTGGTTGTCTAAAGATCAATTCGAAGCTAAACTTCAACGGTCTTTATTGGATTTTCACCTTTGTGGCTGATTGAGCTTACAACTAGCATACCATCTGGAAACAAATAGTAGTGTCAATGAGCAACTACATTGTTGTTTGTGTTATGGTTGGCGATGAGGCTATACTGGGGTTGAGGTGTGTGGGGAGACCTTAAATTTGGTCCCACAGGTCTAGGCCATGCTTTTATTCCCGTAATATGTCTTCACATTGTTTAAATTCTCGCGTAGTCAGATTTCAGTTGTTTTTATCATAAGCTGCAAAATATGTTGTATTTTGTTAATTGCTGTTCTGACACTGTTCTTTCCTAGTCCTCATATAATATTATCTTATTATTCTCTTAACTTGATGCTTCCCTTTTTGAGCCAAATTGGTGTATTTATCGTAAGTTGTCTTCTTGATCCTATTATAACAGGTCTGGAGATTCTACCGCACGAATATGGAATCTTGAAGAACCTATCACAAATCCTCACCATGTCCCACAGTTAGTTCTGACACATTGGGTCAATCTTGATGGCCAAACAGTGTTGAGTAATAAAGATGTTACATCTCTCGATTGGAATGTAAGTCATCTTGTATTTTTGGCTATGATTTCGATTCCATATATTGTGAGAGTAGATTTTTCTGCTTAGCAGCGACTTTTAGGTCTCTGGATATGTTTATTAGTCACCTTATTGTTCTTCTGGTCTGTAAAACAACAACCTTTTCTCTGTCCATTTTTTGATGACTCATCGCTTTTACAAAAAATGTGTATACTGGTCACTCCCTTCCATTTTCCAACTATGCCCTTATTTGTCCTTTCTTTCTACTGTAGTGAAGATAATAATGCATTTCATTGATTTTGGTTAGAAGAAAAATGTCTTCCCCTTAGGTCAGAGGTTTGTGTCAAACTTATTACTGCACATAACAGAAATCCAGTATTTTTTTTCTAGTTTCACCAGTTAATAACAGTCTATGGGTGAACATTTCATATTTTACTTTACTTGCCTCACTTTCTGTTTATTAGTTCCTAAAGTTACCATTGATATGCCTTTTGTCGTGTTACAAATGATTCTCCAAACAGTTTCGTCGATCGGAATTTCTCTTCATAGCTTTCATTGTTTTTCTATAAGTACCTATTCAGATAGCAAGTTACTTATATTGATGTAGAATAAGCTAGGCATCATTTCATTTAGCTGTGTACTGAGTGTTAGTTTAAATTATCAATAATATACACTTCCAATACTTAATACTGCTATTTAATTAGATTAGTGACTTTAGCGACAAAGTTTTACGGTTATGTGCTATTTTTTCAAAAGTTTTGCTTCCTTCTGCTTATACTGCTTAAGATTTTTATTTTTCCGCTAGTGAGATGGTACGGTGGTGGCAGACTGCTCTCCAGGTTGACTAAGGTGTTAGGAAATATTTCTGAGAATCAGAGATAGTTCCGTTAGACCGGCGTAAAAGTCACTGGTGACCCCAGTTTATATGACAGATAAATTTTCCTGTAGTAATCATACGGCGATAAGCTTGACCAATGAGGTATCTAGAGATGTAGGTTTAATAATCATGCACAGATTAAATGCCGCTCAGGAGAAATAAACCGAGAAAATGGGACAGACTTTGGACCACAGACCTCATACCTTCACTCTTCGACAGGTTCTGGAGCACAGACATACTTACTATCATATAACACTTCTCATATTTCTAGCTGAGGGAGGTACTGGATTAAGTGAGGTACTATGACAATGTCTGGGCGTAAAAGGGAGTGTCCAGGAAGTATATCTCACCAATCAAGCCACTATTCGAAATCACGAAGCCGTGTAAGAGCCAACAGGAAGTTGCCATCTGAAGTTATGACAATCATTGGTGTCTGGCATGCACCTTGTACCCACTTTTATATAATTTCATCAGATATGTACTAGGGAAAATTGACTCTAACTGACGAACTAGAGTATACGGATGATATTTTTCTCGTAGATGTTGATAAAATATAGAGTCCTCTGAACTCCTTGAGCAGCAGTTTTCGAATCTTTACTATACAATTTGCTCCTGTCAGTTGTAAGATTATGCTACAGAAGTGGACTACATAAACTCCTAGCTTAAAAAAGAGAGTTAAGTGGTAGAGCATGTTTGACCACTTTAGCCCCAAGTGGGCTGGTTGATGATGAGATCTCGGCATGGGATACAAAAGGCTCGTGTGGCTTTCGCCAATTTCCGCCATCTCTGGCTATCGACCAAAAGGTGTGTGTACTGCTCAGCAGTTCACTCTGTCCTCCTTTATGGCTGTGAGATATGACTACTGAGAATTTAAGAAATGAACAGACCAGGTGTCTTTGTTCATAGATGTCTGTGTCCTATCTCCCTCGTTAGGTAGGTGATATAACAGGGGGAGTAATGTTGAGGTTGGGCGCCGAGTTCTAGGTAAAGAGAGAAAGTCAACCGACGATGTCGTGGAGCTAAATCAATTAAGGTGGCTATGAAATGTGTAACACATGCCTAGCCATAACCTTCATCAACGGGTAATGTTAGCTGGCATGGGATCGAGTTGAAAAAGTGCTAGTGGTGGTCAAACGAAAACCTGAAATCAGTCCGTAAGGTCATTGCCAATCGGTGTGAGCCCCATAAGTAGGTGTTAGGCTGTTTGACTGGGCTCCTCAGGATTCTAACAACCAATGACTGGAGGCTATTGGTGATACTGTTCAAAGTCGTTCTCAGTGGTACAGATGCATTCACTCTTTGTGACCCCTATCCACTAGATCGTCATGTTATTGTTCTTTTTCCCTCACATTTCTGCTTATTACGGTTCTTTTGGATCTGTTTTGTCTACCTGTGTTTGCTACAACTTAAATTGCTGCACTTCTATGTTGAAACTCAATCAGTCAGTCCATAAACCTTGTAACGTATGTACTGTAGTGTTCATACTGAAAAATAGTTTCTCTTCTCTTTCCACTTACTGTATTTGACTAATAGTTGGCGAATAGTCTTGTGTTTTGTTAAAGCAATTAGATGATACCTCTGCAATTAGTAGTGTTCTCTGAGCTGGTTGGTTTAGTTGCGGAACTTTCGTCTTCCTTCTGTACAACATCTTCAGCGCAATTTTTAGCATAAACTGAACTGATTTAAATTTTCTATGAGTGATAGAATTGCGTCTACCGGTTACCATATTTACATTTGTATTGATCATTTTTTTATTGACTTGGATTTTAAACTTTCTGGTCACATGATCTACTTTTTATTATTTGGTATATTTGGTCTATATTAACACGTTTGTTGATTGTATACTCGTTTGCATACCAGGCTTCTAGGAATTCCCCGGCACTTTTGGTGTTCTGTCTAAAATTTCGACATTATCCTCACCAAATCGATGTCCATAATTATCTATATGCATTGATTTGAAAGAGTATATATCATGACTTTTCACAGCTGATTTGTGATCCCAGATTCTGATTCGAAAGGGACGCGCCCATTTTGGCCGATGTAATGTCTATTACAGTTCATACAATTTATTTTGTAAATATTAATTTTATCTCCTTTTTCTGTTAGATCTTTCGATTTGTTATCTGACTATTTATTTATTATCTTTCTTTACAGTCTGATGGAAGTTTCTTAGCCACCGGATCGTATGATGGATTTGCTCGAGTGTGGAATACTGACGGTAAGTTGGCTACATTATTAAATTACGTGTGATCAAATAAGCTGAGAACACACTAGTTTATAAATATAACACTAAGATATAAGGGAATATTGGTTCACAGATTTTGTACTAATCATTCATGCAGTCTGTTCCCCTTGTTGTGATTGTCTTTTGAAAACTGAAAGTTTATTAGCTTGTTTGTTAGTGAAACAGTATTATTTACTGGATGACGTTTCGAACAAAATTTATTGTTCATAATCATCTCATGAATTATAATCACATGACTTCGAAACTTGAGTTTTATAGTTTTCTTTGTTCTCTCCTATTTGTCGTTGTTGTGGTAGTAGAATTTTCCAGGTATCTGGGACCGGTGTTAAATCATTCCTATTACGCGTATTCTCCTCAGTTGATTCGATAAACACCAATGAATATCAATAAGATGCTCACTAGCGACTTGCCCTATTCAGGTAGGTAGTTCTAGTGAGAAGTCATGACCAGTAGGGTGCAGCTGGTCGGGTGTGAGGACAAGTACTCGCCGAAGACATTGGCTAGGGGTCGCTCTATGTCGTGAATCGGCAGGAGTTAGAATTCATGGGCCATTACATCGGGTCCCAGTGGCTTAATGGCATACAAACTCGCTGGCCTTGTAACCAGAAGGTCCTGGGCTCGAACTGTGGTGGGTGCGTACTGATGAAGAGTCCCGAACTACGATGAAACAGCTGTCCAGTACTCCCAGGTTTCCAATGGTTCTCTAACAAATGTCAGCTCATGATGAAATCCTGTAAACTAATCATATCCGTACAAACCAACACTTGAATAACGAAGGTTATGTTGAATACCGATGAGAATTTAACCCATATAAAAAGATTACCAGCACGAGTCTTCTTTTCGTTGTAGTCATTAGTATTTGAAAAAGTCAATGTGTTTGCCTTAGTAAGGTGTTTACTGTTGAAATTTGATCATTGATGAAACGCCTAGTGTTTACTGCTGACAGGGCATCCGACCGCCAATTAATAAAAGGGAAGTTTACTGCACGTCACTGCATCCTCCTCCATAAAAGATAAATGGAGTGTTTACAGGTATTTTGTCCATAGATGTCGCTAAAGCGGTGCTATTATATGGAAGGAAACTGAATAATGGACAATACTGATGTTTGAGTAGATTAAGGAGCCGAAGTTTTGACCTTACTATAGTGTAAAATACAGGGACCACATAAATAAACCAACTCTTGTCTTATTAAACTTTACGACGGAGTTTATTCAGTATTATTCGAGTAAAAGCTTTATTACTACAATACTTAGATTTTCAGTCACTTCAATTGTAAGCGTTTTTGTTTTTCATCTCTGTAGAGTTTAGTAATTGATATAATTTTTCAAAAGAATGGATACTGAACAAAGAGTACTCTTTTCGATAACCCCTTCATCATCAGGCTCTACAGTTATACATACATTATAGTGAATGAATGAATTAGTGTTATAAACAACATTAATGATTAAATAACATCGAATGAATAATACTGATAGATTACAGCTCAGTAGCATCAACATAAAATAAGCTGAATGTCAGAAAAATTAGGAAAGATAATACTACAAATTTATAGTTTCTACTGAAGGCCAGGGCAGTAGTAGGGGCTGGACTTGCTTCTTTTGAACACAGAGCACTGGTTGTTTAAGGCGAATTGCAATAGCCTCTGCTGTTTGGACCATGCGGTGCTTCGATGATTATGGTAATTTATTAGGCACCCGTTAGATTATAGAGAAGCATTCTTCCATGCTGGCTTTGTGACCGGTTTGCACCAGATGGTCCAATATCAAACTGTTAATGGTCTTAACTACACCTTTACTTAGCCATAGTGGGAGATGTTCTCCAGTAAGCACGAAAAATCAAGTTCCTAGAGCAACGGCCAATGTAACTCGCTCCACCACAAGCGCAGTTGAATTGCTAGATACAATTTGAAGTGGTCAGTGTAGGTACTTCATCTTTCAGTTGAGGTAGCACCATCGGTCGTGTAGAGAATAATACGTGTAGTTCACCAGCACTAAAAGTTCTCTGAACTGATTTTCTTAATCTCCTCGTAATTATCTCACTTGGTATATCTCCCTTGAATTGTAGTCGTATATAAAGTGGCTTCTTGTTTGCAGATAGTGAGTAGTCCTTTTCCGCTTTCTTTGTCATGTGTTTCTTGATAAATTTTTCGGGATAGCTATTTTCGATCAAAGTATCATCATATACAATGCTTAATTCATCTTTAATTACTTCTGAGCATATAGCTCTAACTCTGTGGCTGAGGGTCTTCACTAAATTTCTTTTGATATAATTTTGTTTAATTAAGTACTAAGCCACACTACACACTCTCTTCTGTGTGTATACAATAAGAGAGCTCATTAGATTTTTTGTTTTACAAACGAAAATGTTTTTCACAACATGACTAAGAAATGGGATTCATACTATTAGTATCAATCGTCCAGGAAAATGTATAAATTTAGCCAAATTTATTGATGAACATCAGCGATCTAAAGCATGTAATTCGGCGGAAAATGTGACAGATTTGTTCCATCTGCAAATAACTACTACATCAATACCAGTAGTAGAATTTGACTGACAAATTGTATTGTTATTCTTTTTGCACATCTTCATAATTAACTGAGGTAAAATTTATTTTTTACAAGAAAGGGATCGTTAAAATTATCAAGATCATTTATGACACATGTCGATGCGATACTGGTAAACTGATTTCTGATGAAATGCCAGGTGTAGTCAGTGTGTATTAGCAAACCGAAGCTGTGTTAACATGCTTAAAGTTTTCTCAATCTCTGACTGTCTATTTTGACTGTATTTACAACCAGATTTTTTAAAATCTTTATTGGCATCGTTAATGTGCTGTTCTGATTCACCGCTTCACGACGTCAGCTATAAATTTACAACGTCTGTATAAATCTTTATATCCTGAAACCCAATAATTCGAAAGTTTTTCAAGATAGGACATATACCGTGATAATGAGTACAAAACCTGAGTCCATGGCTTCCTGCTAATCATCTCCGTCTGTCCAAAATCTTAATTTTATTTGTCTTTATTATAAAAGCAGTTTCCCCTCGTTTTTATGCTTGTTTTATTCTCTAGACATTCTCCTCTTCTTTACTTTCTTATCGTGCACTTAAATTGAGGGTTAGAATTCGTCTTCTTTGTGATAAATAAATAACCTAAAATTGATTCTTCTTTGTTGCAGGTCGATTAGCAACAACTCTTGGCCAACATAAAGGACCTATTTTCGCCTTGAAATGGAACAAGAAAGGAAACTATATCCTCACAGCCGGAGTTGATAAGGTTAGCTCGTTAATTCATCTTTATATGTGGCTTATATTGTTATTATACCTAAATGTTTTGATTGTTAGGTGAAAAAGCTTAAAACTTTATGGATAATTGTATAATACTAGAGCATTTTCTTTCAGAACTCTCAAGGTTCCCGTCTGAATTACACTCTACAATCTACTTATCAATTTCTTGGATTCGCAAACTTATGGAATAATACTTGTCTGTCAGCATAGGCATTTACTTACTGTTGAAAATGTGTTCTTCGTAGATAAATATAGTTAATGCATTTTTTCTATAAGAGAAAACCATTTTTGGTGTTCTCCTGAGTTCCTGGTGGATCTTAGGGCTTTAACAGCCATATTTGCATTTCATCCTGTTGTCTGCAGTTGTTTTCAGTTGGCTACACGATTGCCTATAAGCTCTCATCTCATTCTCCACATCACCGTCGGACGCCCCACTCGAGGTTCTGCCTAGTACGTGTTGTCCTTCAACGGCCACCTCAGTGTATGTCCATCACACCTCCATTTCCTTCGACATATTTGTTGGACAATAGGTTCTTGTCTGGCTAGTCCGTTAACAGAGTCTCCTCTTGCCTATCCCTTATGGCCATATGATATTGAGTATTGAAAAAACCTAGTTTTTATTAGTTAATTGTGTCCTATTTGGTATGTTCGTAGACTGTAGAGTTCATTGATCCACTCACTTGACTTTTGCACTGTTTTTTGTGTAGCTGTATTTGAGTACACATTAATTTTTTCATTAAACCATGAAAGGTCGTCAATTAGATCAGGCGTTATTCATCCGTTGAGTTGATTACTACTATTCTCTCCCAGTTATGATTTATTACAAAGCCAAAACAAAATGGATGGAAGTTTTTCCAGGTATGATTCACATACACTCAAACCTTATGTAAACTTGATTCACAATTTATTTGACTGGTAATACTTACCTATATATTTTCGTAAACTCTTCACAACATTCAGAAATTTTAAAAAGTCAGATATAGTTCCATTTACAAATCTTTATGACAAATTGTCCTAAGTTTTCTAGGAGGAATATAAGTTCTTTTTGTGAAATCAGCTCAGCTCTAAATTTCGGAAGACCATAATTACAAATCACTTGTCAGGCGTATCAGTCAAATATTTATTCTCTAATCGGTGACGTATCTAGTTTGACTAATGTTAAACATTAAACATCATTAAGTATTTTTAGTGTGATGGCTTTGTCACAAGACTATCTGAAACTAATTGACTAAACAAATATTCATGTAATGACGCCTACATCAAATACCTTTCTTCCTTTCAGACAACCATCATATGGGAGGCACAAACTGGTCGAATCGCACAACAGTTTGCGTTCCATGTTGGTAAGTTCATTAATTCCCCCATCTTACTGTGTCGATGTGACTATTCAGAATTTAGGACTTTTGTGTATATGCATAATTTCCCCCTTTTTATATATCCCCCAATCAATACTTGTTATTAACGAACGAAGCCATTCATCCTCTTCCTTTTGGACAATTCATTGCATCCTAGGCTATATAATATCTTTAACATAATTTTCCGGTCATTTATCCCCTTCTACAAAAGCATTATATTCCACATTTCATTTAAGCATCTATTTTGTTCTAGCTCATGATATGTCTTATCACACTCCAACGAGAAGATATTGCAGCTCACATTTATCACAACTAAAACTACATAGCTGTTGAATCATTTCATGTTAACCAGTGAATGTTTAGGACTCACCATAGAACTACCTCGCTTTTATTTGAAATATTCGTGAAGTATACAAAATTCGCTCCTCAGCTTCCTGAAGGCCACTGGCAAACAATCTACATCTCTCTACCTGAGTAGCTGAGTGTTGAAAATCAAATAGTTTGGGATGTACGATTCACAGTCATGCTTACACCAAAGAGAAGTGTTCTGTTTTATTGGATAAGTTTGTTTATATTTTTCAAACTCACAAGGTGTTGGTCTTTACAAGATCAATTAAATATTTGTCAATGTAGTAAAGCCCAGTGTAATCTAATGTGGATCATTTAACTCTTTGAAGTGTATATCATGAACAGTTAAAGTATGAGATACTGTCTTGACACAATCATACACTTTCTTCTTTTCCCCCTTCAAGCTCCTACGTTGGATGTTGATTGGCAATCCTTAGACAGTTTTGCATCCTGTTCAACAGACACAAATATCCATGTCTGTCAGTTAGGCTGTTCATCTCCTGTGAAAACATTCCAAGGTCATGAGGTAAGCGAACACTTTTGACCATCTAGTTTTTAGTCAATACATAAATTTGTATTGGTTTTGAATTTATGTATTCAGTGGTCCTCTACTTAACTGGGCAGTAATGAGATGAAAAAATTAGTTCATCTATAAATTACGTTACCTGATATTAAATTTAAATTAAATTAAAAAATTAACCTTTGTACAGTACAAATTTTTGTGATTGAGCTACATCAGGAATCTAATATTAGAAAGATTTCCGAAGACGCATTTCAGACAAAAGTTATGTAGTAGCCTAACTACAGAACTGTGTTCAAGTCTATTGAAGTTTTACCAAGTATTCATTTGACTTCATCACAAATGGTTGATTTCCAATGCATTCTATTGAGTCGCATTACTAGGCATGCCTAGCATTTTAAAATATCAGTGGAATGTACAGTATACATCACTTGACTCCGTACACTTTTATTACTATTTCTCTGCAGAATGAAGTCAACGCGATTAAATGGGATCCCAATGGTCGACTTTTAGCTTCGTGTTCTGATGACATGACACTAAAAGTTTGGGATATGCATCATGATCGATGTGTACATGACCTTCGAGGTCATACAAAGGAGATTTATACCATTAAATGGAGTCCCACTGGCCCCGGGACAGCGTTTGCTAACGCTCCGCTTAGTCTTGCTAGGTGAGTAATGAGAACAATAATCTTGTCTTACCAATCAGTTTTATGCTCATTGTAATTATTTGTAATGTGAGTAAGCTACGAGAGTATTTAAATCATCTGTTAATATAACTTTTAAATTCACTAGAAATAGTTTTATGCAAAGATGAACAAAATGTTTCAGAATGTGTACTTTAACTGGAAACTGGGTGGTAATAAATGTTATACGTCTAGTCTTTGGTGTTGGTGCAGTCTGAATTCTATCAGTGAAGTTTGTATTGTGACCACCCTTATAGGTGGATCGCCATCACAGTTCACCGTAAATTATTGTTAGATGGTCGAGGCAGTCGGCAGAAAGCCGTGGACCTAGTTTTGGTAGTTGTTGGTATTTGTCAGTGAGGCGGTCTTGCAGCAGTTCATATCCCTACTGAAGCCAATCAGTGCTGTGGTCAAAGACGTTATCATCAACCTATTTGGGCTGTCGGTGGACCTCTTGTACGACTTTGATGGATGCTTTGATTGTTTTATAGTCACTGAATATTGTCCATAATACAAATATCAGAATATGACTCAGTACCAGGAAGGGAGATGCAGACTTCCGGGTTGGGGCCCTCGGGACTGACTCTAGGAATCAATGACTGGAGACAATAGGTGACATGGCTCAAAATCGTTGTCAATGGCGCAGATGTATTCAGACTCTGTAATCTTTCATATTCCTTTCTACCATTACCCATTCTGTTTCACTCTTATACGTGTGAAACTCTATTGATTCTCTTCATTCATCTTCTTGTCTACCTCTGTGTGCTATTTGGAACGTGGCAACTCGAACTGCTGCACTTCGGTGCCAAGTTCTATGTTGAATCCAGACAGACAGACCAGGAACTAGTCTTATTAAGTTCCTTAAACCATATAGAGAAGGCTGTGTCCGTTTCTTAAAATCTCACGCACACTAGAATGTCTCCTCTTAGTTAGCCTTATTAAGATTCTGCTTGTATCGGGTTATGAGAATAATTTCTATTAATCCACTTTTATCTCTTAAATTTCTTGTATATTACTTATTGCTTAAAATGATGTTATTCCCGTTATTTCTCTTCCTTTTCATCAATGCATGGTTTTAACTTTGCAGGTATGCTCTTTTCATGATTTAGCTACCATCTTTCACCCTCTTAGCTTATACTCTTCTTGTTACAAATCTCAATAGTATACCTGTGTTTTATTTTTCCACGAAATTGTTTTCATTTTATAACCACACAAATGTTGTTTGATAAATACTCGCTCCAATCAAACATATGAAAATCTCTTACTTCTTGTATCCAAGATTGTTTTCATTGGCTGTTACAACAAAAGTTCTGATCGAAGAGTACTTACAACACGTATTGATTTTATAAATCAACCCTCTATTTATTGTCTAGATCGATCGTTAAGTCCGAAGTCTGTCTTACTTTGCATATATATATATATATATATATACATATATATATATAAAACCAGACGGAAGGGCAACCGTCGTTGGTTAATGCAAGTCAGGTGGCTTAACAGGCAGACTGTTATAGTATGTCTGTCTATCTAAAATGAGTGTTGTTGTGACCGGTATGTGACAGACTACTTAGATTTTATTGATTCTCATGTGGTTAATTTTTATTTTAACGCTTAATCTAAATATAACTTGGTCGTGTATCTATTTTCACCGTTTCTTTGTGTTGCAATTTCAAAAATTCATCTCTACGTTCGTATGTAGATGTAAATAAACCTACTTTTTAACGCTCATTTCTGTCTCAATAAATCTTTTTTAAAGTAGTTCTACACTATTTAATTGTATTCTTTGGGGGTCAGAAATATATTTTTGTGTACCATAGTTTGTAAAGTGCCTAATAACAGTGTTTATATACAACAATTTAAAGTGTTGTCCATTGATTTTAAAACTCTGTTTTTCGTCTCAACCATCGAGTTACAGTAATAAATAAGATTAAAATTCGCACAACTACGTATAATCATTATCTTATCAAGTGCTTGTATATTAGCCTTGTTGCTGAGCTTTTTGCATGCCTTCGGTGATACAATCGTCGTAATATCGTTATATTAGTTATTGAAATACATGTTACAGTTTTCAGGATGTATTGTCTGTCCATATGGGTGGAAATGCAGCAGTCAAACCATTGCTTTCAGAGTGCTGGATTACTGACGTTGTGAACAACGGAGTTTCTTTGATTGTTCATGCATGACTTGCCTTCCGAAAATGCAGATTAAACTCTCCTAAACCGAGTGCAGATTTTAAGCTCTTGTTACCAAGATACACTAGCTGAATCACAGCAGATGTATCTCATTCTTGTATCGTAATAAATAACAAAGTAAGAAATATTTTGCCTCATTGACTTGTTCCATTGTTTTTTTTGTGTGTACGCTTTTTAGTGCCAGTTTTGATTCAACTGTCCGGTTATGGGATGTTGAAACAGGGCAATGCCGACGGATATTATCAAGACATACTGAACCTGTATATAGTGTTGCATTCAGTCCTGATGGTCGCCTGTTAGCAACAGGCTCATTCGACCAATGTGTTCATATATGGAATGTTGACGTAAGTCTTTTTCATCTTGTTGATACTGTTTCGTGAATATCTGAATCCTTCTCTTAGTAACCGTTGACGATACAAGAGTTTCTTACATACTTATCTTAATAATGGTATTGTATTTCTGACACTGTCCCACTCTAAGCAAGTTTCTTCATATCAGTATCAAGTCAGGTCTAATTCAGAAATAGCAGAATTACGATAGGTTGTAATTGAATTTTTGATTTTCCCGTCGATTGATTGGACCAAAGTGCTCGGTCTCAAGTTGACATGTCGGCTTCTTGTGCAGATGCTTCAACGATGTCTGGGCATTTAATTAGATTTTAATTGGTGGATGATGACTAGCAGTGGAATCTAGGATGCGCATTTCGTCCTATTTGGGACTCATTATCTGGATGTACCTGCGTAGGTTGTTTTTGGTACCTGGAATTATAGCGAGAAGTCTTGACCTACGGGTTCCATTATGTATGGTGTGAGGAGAAATACTCGCCGGTGATGCTGGCTGTTGGCTACACTAGAATCGCAAATTAACACAAGTTAGAATTCATTGGCCACTAGATGCCGTCCCGAATGGCTTGGCCCTTAAGGAGCTTGACCTTGAGTTCAACTTCTAGTGGTAGGGTCATCAGTAAGTGCTGCTCAATAGTTCCAGGCTAGGTCGGAAGAGCTGTCCATTACTCTGTGTCTTTCAGTAGCTCTTCAACTGACTTCAAAACATGATTAGACATGAAGATGGTAGTTAATTTGCAGGTAACTTGTAAAAAGTGTCGTTTCAGGTTATGATTATGCGCTGTAATCAGAGGGACTGACGCGTTCACATTAGGATATGCACATACTTACTTTGAAATTCAACCATGTTTACCGCCTAATTTCATTTAGTATACTACATGTTTTTGTAACATTCAGTTGTTTTTGATAAATGACATTTTCACATTTTATGATATGATAATGGACTTTTTACAACATCTACATGGGAACTGGATTAACACTTTACTGTGTCATACGATATTTTTTATGTGAAAATTATACTGTTCTATTCATTTCTCAATTAGATGTTTCTCAAGGAAAAGCAGTTAACACGGTAGTAGTAGACACAGTTTACTGACTCTGATTTCTACATATTATTTATCGTAAAAATATCATTAACTATGTAGTGTTTAGCTTTTTGCTTATGTTTGGCATGCAATTCGCTCCCGCCAAATGTAAGATGATGAGGCTACAGGCCCGGACTACACTTACCCCTAGCTTAGAAATAGGGAGTGAAGTAGTAGAGTAGAGCGCGTTGACCACTTCACTTATTTGGGAAGTTGCATCGGCCACAACTGGTTGGTTGCTGACTAAATCCCAGCACGAATACAGTAGGCTCAGTTCACATATGCGAGTTTACACCATCTCTGAAGTAGACGTGATATCCGGCTATCGATTAAAGGACATGTATATTGCTCGGTAGTCCGCTTCGTCATCCTTTATGGCTGTGAGCAAGACATGGCCATTGAAAGTGGAAGACATGGAAAGCCTAGCTAGCTGTCCTCTATCATAGGTGCCTGTGTTCTGTCTCTTGTGTAAAGTGGTATAATAGGGTGAGCAATACTGAAGTTAGGTGTCGAGTGCTGGGTAAGTAGGGTAAATCAATAGACGAGGCAGTGAAGTTACACCAATTGAGATGGTTAGGACATGTGTTACGTATACCTAGCCATCGCCTACCTCGACAGGCAATTTTAGCTGACATAGGGTGATGCTGAAAAAGAGCTAGCGGCGGTCAAACCGAAACATGGCTTCACCAGTCAATGAAATCCACAACAGTTGGTCTAAGCCACGTAGGAAGGTGTAGACTTCCTGGTTGGGGTCCTCGGGAGGGCAAAAACCAATGGTTAGAAACAATTCATGATATGGCTCAAAATCGTTCTCAATGGCGCAGATGCATCCACTCCTTGCGACTTATAATTTCCAATGAAACTGTATTGTTCTTCAATATTACTATTCTTTTTGTCTCGTATCACTAATTTGAATCTCTCTCTTTCCTCTTTTCTTGCTTTGTGTGCTATATGGAGTGTGATGACTCGAGCTGCTGCACATTGGTGCGAAGTTCTATGTCGAAAGTAGTCAGTCAGTAGTGTTTAGTTCCGTCTACCTTCTTTTTAGGTCTTAAAAAGAACTAAGGTGTCTACTCGACTAAGCCAGTTTGCTTTCCATGCATATAATTGTATTTTTGCTTATATTTTCTAAGCTGGTTTTTTGTCTGAACTATAAACATTGGTAAAGTATCCTTGGTTAAATTCTGTCTGTTCTTGATTATCATCTATCCATCGTGTGTTAACTTCTCCCTCGTTTTTCCTTCTATTCATAATCCTTTAACCAGGTAGAAGACCTGTCTGTCTTTGTGGACCATGCATATTTTATCGATCATTCCGTTTACATGCATCTGATTGGTCGGTACAATTTTAGCTGTAGCCGACTGGCAAAAAATCAGTCTGAATATATGCGTTTATTATACCTCATAATATATAAAGGTCACAGGAAATGTTATGACCTATTTACGTATGTTATGTCTATCTATTAATGGAGTGTTTGTTGCTGTAGGTATCTTACCATTCAAAACTTCAATGTTCTAACCTTACACCATTGCTTGTGTGTAAAAAGCACTTAAATATTTTCAGTAGTTCCACTACCTATTTAGAGAGATAAAATTTTTGTTAAATCACATAGTCTTGATGGAGAATGATATGTCTTTTTTGTCTGTGATAGCTACAAATCGATATGACTTATTCCATGTAATTACGTTGTTTCTCTTTGTCATTACCCTTAAGATAATTACCCTTTTATTGATCGATTAGAATTCAAAGATTCCATTCACTTTTGTACGTCATAAAAATCCTTTTACACAAGTAGCTTTTTTGATGTATAACTTATACACTTACGATAAAAATCAACCAAACCCTATTTTATTTCGTCATTTAGTGTCAGTACACTTAATTTTGTCTTATTTGCTTTTATCTTTCTAGTCCGGAAACCTCATAAATAGCTATCAGGGCACTGGCGGCATTTTCGAAGTTTGCTGGAATTCACGAGGAGATAAAGTTGGAGCTAGTGCGTCGGATGGCTCTGTAAGTTTTTTTTGCAGTAATCCTTGTTTTGTTGCTTCCTAAAACAATTAATTGTAGAAGTATTTTTCATTTTATTTCCAGTGAATTGAATATCCTGTTATGCTTTAATGTTTTCATCTGCCAATATATTTTAATTCTTCAGGTTGTGGTACTTGATCTACGAAGGTAGCAGTGACTATCTCTTTCCTACACAATCGACACATGGGACAGTTTACAGTCAGTAATTTTCATCCAATCCTGTACATTAAACAATTAACCTGCTGGATTATTTGAGCAGGGATGGGCTGTAATACATCACAACTTCTACGCCCTAAGCTTTCAATCAGTGATCAGATTAATCTTACCACACTGTACCACCAACATGTATCCGCAGATACTATAAGCTGTCAATCATTTACTTGCCTCCAGCTTCCTGATACAACTACAATTTGCTAACTGTAACTGTTCCAGTGTATCCTGAACTATGTCTGAACGTATCTCTGTCATTCCCGGAATAAGCCGTTTTGTACATTTATGAACACTAGAAAAGATGAATCCCCTGTTATTATGTTTACGATCAATCTTTTTATTGAATTTATTTACTTCTTGGGAAATGAAATGGTCCATTAGGACGAGAGTTGTTTTCTTCCCACTACTTTGTTTGCTGTATTCCTTGTAAAACTGTTTATTATCTTCGTCAGTGTTGTTAGATCACATCCTTCGTCAAACTGTATATTTGGCGCCGTTGTGTGTCATTATATTTCCCATTCGGCAGCGAGGCCCAAACTCTTTTCGACGTTCCAGTAGCAATCGATACTTGGTTAGTTTATGTGTGAATGGTTTCCTGTTGAGTTGTGTATAAGTTGAACACACTACTTTATCCGGTGATCGTAATATTTCTTGCTTGTTATTGATTGTTGCGTATATATAAGCATTTTGTCAAGTCATTTCCCTTGTGTTTTTCATTTTTGGTGAAAATTTCAGTCAATGCACTGGAGTATCTACCTATCTATCCTACCCTGTTGTAAAGTGTTCTTTTATCTTCAGTTAATTTATTCAACTTGTGCCAACTATGTAATTTTGTCAATGTGTTTTCAGAACGTCCTTGGTTCAGTAATATAATATGCCACATGTGTCTGTCCTTATGATCAGATGTACGCTTACCCATGTTACCTCCAACTCTGATGTTTTTTAAATTTTATCTTATGTAGTGTGTTGCAAATTTTATATTCTTAGGGAAATATGTTATTTTAAATCTTTTTCACACTTTTATTCACTTTGATAAACAAACCAAACTGAAGTCTTATTTCCATGACCTTTGCGTTAATCATGAAGTTTTAGATCTCTTCATATATTTTTTTCTTGTTAGTGTTTTTTTTTGTTGTTTACGACTGTATCTTACTTGTCCTTCCGAAATCACACACTCAATCACATCCTACTCCTTGTTTTATTGTTTTTTGGCTGTGTTTTTTTCTTCACAAATTATGAATGTACTTCCTTGTTCTTGTTCTTGATCAGGCTCTCTTATAGAATTAAAATCTTTTCTCTGTTGAATTAGTTCTGTTTTTTTTCAGACTTCCTTTTTATCCCTTTGTAACTTTACTTGAATCATTAGAATTTTTCTTTATCTTGCTATTTACATTTGACATTATGAACTTGTAAATTATGTTATTTACCATGTGTACGGTTATCAATTATTATTATGACTAAATATCTTTTACATTTGTCGATACCATTCTCTGTATGTCCAATTGTATTATTCTTGATCGAGCAGCTGTGTTATGGAAAATGTGCTCGTATTTGTTGCGTGTTGTTTATACTTATAATCTAGTTCTCACTGAATATGCCCATATTCTTCAAATCCCCCACCCCATTTCCCCCCTCCCCCAAAGCATATTTTTTCATTCTCGAAACAATGTCCACTGTATATTTGTCCTTTTTTTGAAGTTTCCCGGATGTAATAATCAACTTATTTGCGATTTTGTACTTCTTGTCTTTACAACTGAAGTGTTGGGGTTGGTAAAAATATAGCATTTATACATTATTTGATAATGATTCAGGATTTTACTGAAGCTCATTTATTCCCAAATTTATTTTAAGTTCTGTTACAAGGGATGTGTATACTTTTCAAAACTTCACGAAAAGTATGATATCATGGTTAACATTAAAAAGGGGAAACTGCATTCTGTATTTCGGCAGTTTGTTAATTTATCTTATACCTATGAGCATGCATATGTGAAGTGTGTATCTCAATCCATGTTCACATGGACTCTCCCAGGATTTGTAGTCTGACTGGTAATCTTGTATTGTATAGGTCTCTGTTGATCTACTAGATATTGCTGATTGGAACGTATCAGCTCATCTGTGATTTTGACAGGTGCAAACGCACTAATAAATGCCTTCACCTTGAATAAAAGAGAAGACTGTTATGTATTGAAATGGCTATGTTTTAAGTTACTAGGTGTGCTTATTGCAAATCTGTTCTAACCAATAATGAGTTTGGACAAAGGGATAATTATTAACAGGTGAAGAGAACGTGATTCCCATCGTAGTTAGCAGTTTTGCAAAGTTTAATTTATTGGTAACCAAATACTGTTCACATTGAGTTTTCTTACTCAATGTAAAAACTTTACTACGCGGAACAGGTTTCCAGTGTAACAGACTGCGCCACATTTCCATGTGAGAGCTAGTGGTATTGTCTAGGCCGAAATAGGTGTAGAAGCTTGGGAACCTGGATCAACTGGTTGTAAGTCAACTCCTCAAACCAATGAACCACATCGCTACTTTCTGTTTAACTATTGTTTCATAACCTTGCTGCATTTTATATTTTAGCTGCATGTGTAAAATAGAATGATATTAAAGTGTCGGTTTGTAGGGATTTGATTGTTTACAGGATTTCATCATGAACTGACATCGGTTAGAGAACCATCGGAAAACCTGGGAGTACTGGACAGCTGTTTCGTCCTAATCTGGGATTCTTCAGCAGTACGCACCCACCGGGGTTCGAACCCAAGACCTTCTGTTTACAAGGCTATCTCGTATACAATTAAGTTAATTCAACAGCATCGTTTTAACTACAGATAACGCGGATCAGAATTTGAAGGCCAGCTTGCTAGGATGAGAAGGAGAAAGTAAGACAGGTGTTCACTGCTGTGCAGTCAATGTGGAGATCTAAAACACAAAAGAAAAGATCTGAATTTTCAATACTAATATCAAGTCTTCCACAGTATTTGCCATCTAAGAATAGTTTTTCTTTCACTTGTGTATTTCTGACGTGTTATTTCTCTTAGTCTCTATACTTTCCGTAATTCATCCCGAATTATTTTTTGACAGTTGTTGTTTTCAGATGTTAAAAAACCAGATAAGTAAGTAGAGGCTGTGTAATTCCATTTATCCATTTGTCGTCATTACGTAGTGAATTATGAAGCTTTGTAACTCCCCTGGCTTATTCAAGCTGGTAGCTACACGTCAAATCCGGGTTTGATTCCCAACGGGATGCGCTGCCGAATCTCTCTTTAGCCGGTAGGTGGTAGTAGGCTTGACTTGGCTTGGCAAAAAAAAGTTGGGCGTTAGGGTAGCAACCGGAGTATGGAAAAGCGACATCACTGTTCCTGACAGTTCAAAGCTCAAAATATGAATTCCTTTATCTCACTTGGAATACGAAAGCAAAGATGAATACTCAATATCATGAAGAAAAAAAACATTTTCACAAGCTTTAATTCAATTCAATGCATCAAAAGTTCCCTACCACATTTGGGGAAGCGGGAAGGGTGTATTCCAGCCTAGTGATAATGATATTGCAAAAAATTGAACCCTATTTAAGTGCATAAACAGTAATGTGAGTCATCCAACATTTCATTATATGTGTTAGTGTTTATTACATTTTATTTTACATTTATTTCATTGTCTGTAAGTTTGTGAAGCAAATTCATAATTAGGTTTAAGAAATTTTATTTTGCTTAAAAAATCACATGATGATGATCAGAAGTAGGCAGAGACAGAGAAAGAAAGAAAAACGGCTTTATTATTCATTTTGACCTAGAAATGGATGATATTTTTATTTTATGTGGTATAGCCTATAGGTATACAAAGTCAGATGATTTTTCTTCAGGAACTAGAACCTTTGTAATAATATATATATATATATATATATATTCACCTCTTTGTTTTCTAAACAAAACAACACTATAGTTTGCTGGTGGTGTTTGTTTGTTTGTGTGTCTGTTCATGCAATGATTTATGCGTATATTTGTGTGGGTGAATGGATGGCTAGGTGTGTGTTTTTGTGTATTGTCATCACTATTACCATCTGTTCACAATTGGTCTTATGCGCATGTTTTTATCACATATAGTGGTGGTTAATAGCTAATAATTCATGCGTATAAACAGATTAACATGTTGTAAGCTTTTAATCGAATCCAACACGTCTCCTGTATGCATATATGTAAACATGATTAATGCCATGATTGCTTTCAATAAGGTCAAGGTTATATATACTGTGTTATTATGTGTGATGTGATTAGACAATACTCATTATTTATAGTAGGTAAGCCCACTAATGCTTTGTTTTTTTTCTGCTATTGATTAGTCTTGATGCATAGACCTGGAGAGAGCTATCTCTGTTTATCATCTTAAACATGAAAAGGAGCCTTAGATTATTACTGAGTCATCATAAATTTATCATTAAAGTTCAATAAAACCACTTTGATTTCGCTGAATTTAGCAAAAGTTTGATCTGTAGTACAGCATAGAAAGACAGGAATACGTTAGGCCAAGAAAACTCTAAGAGATTTGGACTTTTCTGGATGATTTATGTTTAATGTCAATAAAAACTGAAAGATCTATAGGCGAGAAACAACAATTTGGCAGAAGAAGTAGGTAGCCAGCCAATACAGGACTTCAAGTGAATGTAGAAAAGACAGAGGTGATAAAGATGACCAACCAACAGGAGGAATTCCAGCCAGGTCACCTATTTCCGTAACCTAAGCAACATCGTTTCAACTGCATGCACCTCATATGAGGATGTCAGAGTTAGGATCGGGAAAGTAAGACGGACGCTCATTACTCTTAAATCCGTGTGGAAATCTACTGAACTCAGCATAAGAAACAGTCTGTCTGATTTTCAACACTAACTTCAAGTTAGTAATTGTATATGGTTCAAAGACTTTTCGAAAGACTTTAGACTTTTATGAACAACTGCCATCACTGCATGCTAAAGATCGCATGGTTTAGTTGGAAAGTATTAGCAACAAAGAACTGTGGCAGAGAACCAAACAAAAACTTATTGCTCAACAATTATTTTTTTGTAATACTTTACTTTCCTAACGGAACATAGGGCTTCAAGCCAAAGCTTGGGTGTTGCGGTAGCAGTGGTACTTATTTTTACGGGATGGGGTTGCTAGCCTCATGCCCAACCTTCCTCCTTTACCAGTCTTATTACTAGTTTAGCGAGGTAAAGAAGTGCTTCGGCTGCAGATCGAACCTTGGATCATTTGCGTGGTTGGCGAAATTTCTACTGCTGTGCCACCGATGAACCCAGCAAATATGCAGAAGTAAATTGAGATGGATAGGACATGCTCTGAAGAGACTGTTTAGTGACATCACGTGCCGCGTCGTATAGCGAAACCCGATTGGGATACGACGGGTTCGGTGTTGGTTGATGACATGGGGGAGATTGTGTGAGAAGATGGAAGACTATGGGCAATTCGTGAAGTCAGTTAAAAAGGACTACAGAAAACAGGATGAAACAGATATGTCTTTGAAGCCGTATATGTTTCACTCGGTACCTGAGAGAATAATGATAATATACAGCATAAGAAGTTTTTTTGCTGCTATTTCTTCTGCAAGAATGATGTTGAAATCATCCCTAAAGAATATACAAGAGGCGGAATATCTGTAGTCCAGTTTGTAGGTAAACATCTAGTAAGGTGTAGACTTCTTGACTGGTTGGCTACCTCGGGGCGGTAAAAGCCAACAGCTGGAGACAATTGGTGAAATAGCTGAAAATCATTGTCAATGGCTAACGCAGATGCATCCACTCCTTGTGACTGATAACACTCCATAAAACTATATTGTTTTTCAATATTACTTTTCTTTTTGCCTCATATCTCTGTTCAGTGTGACTATTTTGGATTTCTTTTTACTTTCTTCTCTTGCTTTGTTTGCTACATGGAGTGTGGCGACTGGAACTACTCTACATTAGTGCAAAGTTCTATGTTAAAACCAGTGAGTTAGTCAGTCATCCTTTCTGGCTGGTCATCTGATCTTCATTATCCATCGAAGGATGCAGCTGCTTTTAGTGTCCAGTAAACATTTATATATCTTCCATAGGAAAGTAGTCATTAGGATGAAAATTGTTCACTTGGAAATGCTTTGGACAATCAAAAAACCCACATTTATTTTATTTTATTTTTGATTACAGCTTGATTCCGCACTGTATTTTTGGTACAGGTATGGAATTTTCAGCATGTGATATCGGTAGTCCAAATTTCACAGGCCGACCATAGATATCAGGTGTTAGTCGGCGTGGGCTCGAACCCCAGACCATGTGCATGGTCGGCGAGAGTCCTAACCACTGAGAATATGCACAAAACCCAATATGAGGAATTTATTTCATTCTACTTGAGTAGATTGTTTCACTGATGTAAACTCACCTCCAAAATGAATAATAATAAGTAATACAACTGAGTTGACCTCAATTCTCCTATTCTATAAATTTTTGGTGAATTTATATGTATTATTATTGTTATTATCATTATATTATTCATTCCTTCACGTTCACAGTGGAACATACGGCTTCAAACCAGAGGCTTGAAGTCTCTGTAGAAGTTGTGATTATTTTTTTAAAGGATGGGGTTACCAGCCTTATGTCCAACCTTTCCCCTTTACCAACTTTATATCTGGCTTAGTGAGACAAAGGAGTGTGTCGGCCGGGGATCGAGCCCCAGACCATGTGCATGGTTGGCGAGCGTCCTAACCGCTGTGCCACCGACACAACCGAATGTATATGTATTATTATTATTATGTAAATTCTTCTCAATGTTATTTCATTTCCCAATCTCTTTCTTTTTTGGAATCATTAACTTAGGTTTGATACTATTATCTCACTTTGTAATGAATACGTCTCATGCATAATTTGGTTTTAACTTTGTGTAAAACTAATATATAAACAATGTTTGTATTATTTAATACAAACTGTTATACTGATGAATTATTTTATTTATTTGTTGTAAAGTTATGGGCTTATTTTCTTTCTTTTCTTCTCGTTTTGAAATCA